GAAATGGTTATACGGCCACACCAACGATGCTATTCAGCATGAGCATTAGCTTAGTGGAATGTGGGGCTAATCTGTGTGATTGTTTTTATGCACTCAGTGTAATTCTCGTATTTTTATGTTCAGTTGGACAGTAAAATGAAACGGGGAGTGGCATTCTAAATAGTTTATTTGTCCCAGTGCTGCTTATTGTGAAGTGGTGCCACTTTGCAATATTGGGCTTTTCTTCTTGGAAAAAAATAAAATAAAAAAAACTGGGAGAATTTTTTTATCCAGGTTTTTGGAGGGAATTCTTTGAAAAAAAAATGTGATTTTTATTTTGGGAGCATTTTCTTTTTTCGTGGAAAACATTTTTTATTTTGCCTCGAAAATGTAAAAATTTGTTTCCATAAGTTTACTTTTCGAATCATTTTTAAAAATAATAAAAAAAATACTTCTTTACTGCCATGTGTTTATGCTAGGGGTATAACACAAAACAATTTGAATCAGAGTGTGTTGAATCAAACCATGTCAAATCCTTCCACTTATATATCGAGTTGTATATCAAATCGTCTTTTATTGGAGAAATGCACGCCTTAAGTTGAAAAAAACAAAAAAATACAAATACTGGACACTCACTGTATTTTTTTCATCTTCAGTCTCAGAGTATACATTTTTTCATTTTTTTTTAAGCATGGACCTAATATTCCTTCGCCGAAAAATCCTACATTTTGCCGAGAACGTTTACACGCTGCGCCATGTCTCTGGTTGACTTCCAGATGGAAAATAATGCAGACTTGTTGCTTGCCCGCAGTGCCTAAACAGTCCCTGAAGCTGGATGACGGAAGGAGGGAGGAAGCAGCGGCAGGAAGCTCCCAGACAAGCAATAATTTAACTTTAATCTGAGCTCTGCAGGTGGACGCTGAACAAGTGAGCAGATTTATTCCCCTTAAATCTCATGTTATCGCACGCACACCCACAAACACACACGCCCGCACACATTCATGCACACACAAAGAAGTCTCGCCGGGAAAAGTTACAAGGCGGAATTACACTGATTGCCAAAGAGGTCAACCTTGATAAGGAGGGAATTGCTTTGGAAATTGTGTTTACGTGCTGGGAGCGCATGCGAGCAAGTCGGAGATGGGAATCACTTGCCATATGAAAAAGAAAAAGGGAAAAAAAAAAGTCACAGTGTGGAAACTGAGGAGAAAGATAATGAACCTGCTGAGATTTGCTTATTGTTGGAAGACCTTTTTGAGTCACTGCCCTAAAAAATTGACTTGACAAAACTTTCACATTTGTTGTTGGTGGTGGGGTTTTTTTTAATTCTCTCCTATTTATGAAAAATAAACTCAAGCTTTATTTAATTTTTCATAAATGTGTGCAAAATTATGAAATAATAGAAGTAATAATTAGGGATGGGCAAGTACCGATACCATTTCTTTGTGTCAGGCCTGATTTCAATGCATCGAGTGCTCCTGAGGTATACCGATACCGGCCACAAGCAAAGGCAAAACGCACGTGCGTCAAAAAGACAAACACGTCTTTGTTCACAATTATAGGTCGTTGTTTGAATTGAGGCGGCCCGGTGGTACAGTGGTTTGCGCGTCGACCTCACAGTGCAGAGGTGTCATGGGTTGGATCCCGACTCTGGCCTCCCTGCGTGAGTTTTTCTCCGGGTACTCCGGTTTCCTCCCACATTCCAAAAACATGTATGGCAGGCTAACGGAACACTCTAAATTGTCCCTAGGTGTGAGTGTGAGTGCAAATGGTTGGTTGTTTCTCTCTGTGTGCCCTGCGATTGGCTGGCAACGAGTTCAGGGTGTCCCCCGCCCACTTCCCGAAGACAGCTGGGATAGGCTCCAGCAGCCCCCGCGACCCTTGTGAGGATAAACGGATCGGAAAATGAACGAATATGACTTTATTCGCCAAAGAAGATGCTGATTTGTTTTTTTTTCTGGAAAAATACAAAATGAAATGTTTCGGCATCACATTTTGGAGTCTGAGGAGCCTGTACATGAGATGTACTTTTTGGAGATGTCATGAAGTCATGAAATCAAAAAGCCTGCAGAAATGTTCTCATGGAGAAGAGTTGGCTCGTGACGAACGAGCGGGGACGTCAAGTTAATATTTGTGTGGCTATTGCCAATATGAGTCTGTCCTCTTTTGATTAAAACTTTCCCCTAATGATTGTTTTCATTTTGCTGTTTCTTCGGGGGGAACCGACTGGCTCGCACTCCCGCGTCTGCCATTCCCCAAAGAGATTTTCAGCTCCTTTGAGCTCATTGTTTTTCATTTTCCGGGGCCGCGACTTCGCTTCACTCTGCGTGCGCTCTCATCAGCATAACGCTTTGGCGCTCGACTCGCTCGGATTTCCCAGCGGAGGAGCGAGGGCTCATTTATTTGCTTTTTGCTCCACTCCCAATAAATGCTAGTCACTAATAAGCCCCCCCGCCCATTAGCCTCGCCTGTTTTTGGACAATGCTACCAGGGGTGCGACAGTACAATGGGCCTCCTCTCCCGGGAAAATGCAGAGCGGTAGCCGTCGCTTCAGTCATCAGTCCGTCGGCCAGTCATAAAAATGTTGCAAATGATCCCAAAAAAGACAAAACACCCCCCCCCCACACACACACACATTTTAAACATTTATTCTGTTAAGATTCTCACTTTTTTTCATCAAAATTATGTAAGATTACTCCTGTGCTTGGGGGGGGGGGGGGCGGACAAAATTCCGCCTTTTGTCCCGCAACTTTATGAGTGGAAGATTGCAGCTTTTTTTGACGTCTTTTTAAATGAATTAATTGATTAGTCGATTTGTTCTTCCGACATCGCCCTGTTCTTTTTGTGTTGTTTTGTGGTGCTCCTAGTTATGCTCAGTGTGCTTGATTTCAAATTTTTTTGAGCTGGGTGACTTTTTTTTTTTCCCCTTAATGCTCAAAATAAGATTTTATTCTTGGGAGGTTGCATTTTTTTTTTAATCTGACTGACAACTTTTTTATTCTGACTGTGTTAGTACAAGATGATTTTTTTAAATTATTATTATTTTTTTTTTTAGAATTTTAATTCACTAGATTTGCTCCTGCGTCCTCTTTTATGTTCTTTTTTCTGCTGTTTTGAAGAAAAGCCCTCTGTTTCGAGGCAAACTTTTTTTTTGCCTCAGAAAAATACATCGTTCTTATCACCTCACATGAATTCTGTTTCGCAACGGGCCGGGTTTGGGAGCATTTTTAAATTTTGTATGGCACTGACTTTGTTTTATAATGTATCGTCATTTTATTTTCGATGAATCATCTTGACATTTTCTTTTCTGGTAACGACAACGTCTTAATGGACGCGACAGCGCGACATGCTCAGTGAGGCTCGTCCCTTTACCCTTCACTAATGCCCGTTCTCCAATCAACAGCTGTTGACACACTCTCAATTACGCCGCAGTGTGCCACTGCGTTGTCGGACGAGATGAACGATCGGCGTAATTTGTGCCTTGGGCCCAGCCATCCATCACACATGGCTAGAGAGTGTCGATTTAGTGAAGAGAAGTAGTGAAGTGAACACCCTGGTGCACACCTTGATGTTAAATCCACTCAGCAGAGACATCATGACATGCGCGCTACGTGGTGTGTGGACAGACATATTGGCATGGCGTGTATGTAGATGGATGGACTGTTCAATTGGTTGTTCAGTCAGTTAACGAGCCAAAAGTTCATTGGGTCTCTCAGTTCGTTGGTTAGTCAGCTCATCCATCAAGTAGTGTGTTTGTCAGTCAGTCATTTTGCATGTTCTTTTTTTTTTTTTTTTTTTTTCTTCAAGCAGTCACTGACTGTTTAGTCCAGGGGTCCCCAACCTTTTTTGCCCCACGGACCGGTTTATGTCAGACAATATTTTCAGGGACCGGCATTTAAGGTGTGGCGGAAATAATACAACAAAATAATATGGTATGAGCTGCATGAAAACTGTGGTGTTTTCGAAATATAATAATAAACACAAGGAGCGTCTAATCTGGCCGCAACACTCCAATCGCTATGGCAATGTTTAATGCCTTCAAAATACGATACAACGCAAATTCAAAGTGCATGAAAATGACCACTCACCACAGCACCGAGCTTGATTTTCTGCAACCAGACGGTCCCATCTCGGGGTAATAGGAGAGACAATGACACCGCAAGTGTGTGGTTTATGTCCAGTCTACTTCGTAATTTTGTTTTCGTCGCCGTTGCTGCATAATCCCCCCCGCCTCACACAGGTAGGATGTCGGAAATAGCAAAAGTGCTATAGTGGCGATCTCAGAGTATTCAGCCATAACTTTAATCCAGTTGTCTCGAACGTACTTTTAAGGCCGCCGTCATTTGCGATCTCCAGCAGTTTTTTTACTCATTTTGCGAGCTCCGGTGTTTGTTTTTAGCCTAATTGGTCAAGTTACGGAGAAGCGTGGCTTGACGTGTGTCAAGCTGGACACAGACGGATGTAACGGAGAATCCGGTAAGTTTTCAAAATAAAACATCTTTCGTATTCCGAAATAAATAAAACGGAATTAAGGCAAGTTCTTTCTGTGCGGCCCGGTACCAAATGCCCGGCGGACCGGTACCGGTCCGCGGACCGGCGGTTGGGGACCCCTGGTTTAGTCCGTTGTGCCGTTAGTCTGGTTGTCCTTTAGTCAGTGAATTAGTCACTCGGTAAGTCAGTTGGTGAGTTTGTTAGTCTGTTTGGTTGGATGGTTTTGTAGCAGAGGCGATTGCTCTTAGACTGCAAGGGAAGCTCAGCTTCCCCAAAAATGTCCAGAAATAAGTGATCAAATATATGTAAGATAAGATTAAGATATCCTTTACTTGTCCCCCAATGGGGAAATTTACAGTCCACAGCAGCAAGATTGTGGGTAGAAGAAGAAAGAAGAAAAAAACAAGTTTTGCCAAGTAAGACACTTCCCACGCCCATTTTCATTTTAATGAAGACCACAAGACATTCTTTTCAAAATGCTGATATACTTTAATTTGAAACACAAGACAATCTTTTCAAAATGATGACTGTGGAGTTTCTCCTCATGCTTGAGTGGATCTTCTCTGCATTCTCCAGCCACACCTGCCCCCACCGCCACATCTCAAAAACATTCCTCGGTGAATCAATTACTCATAGGTTTGAATCAAAGTGTGAATGATTGATTGATTTGTTGCCCGCGTTTGACTGCTGAATGGCCGAGGGTGTGCCCCACCGCCGAACCAGGTCATCCTTTTTTCGGGGATGTCACTCAGATAATTTCTTCCCTGAAGATAAAAGAAGGAAAGAGGGAGAAAAGGCCTTTGCAATTATTTCTATTTTCTCAACACACTGTATCGCCCGATATGCAAATGAGTATGCTTACAAGTGATTGGGCCAATGGTGAGTGGCTTCATTGGGGCAGCGTCTGAGACAGAGCGGCGTGCTCTCGTCACGCAAGGCTATGTGGTGGGGGTACGTGAAAAGGAAAACGACATCACCAAGTGGTTAATAAACAATGCACAAGTCGTTGCCATGCTGTCAATCAAACAGAAAAGAGTAGATTACTGACCGGAACGCAAGAGCGCCTCACGGGGTTACACAGGCTGACGCCACAGAAGAAGAAAACCTCTCGGTTTGCTCCCTGAAGCGGGAAGAAGAGGGCAGAGAAACGAGCCCGACGTGATGCGCCACTCTCGACCACCGACACTTGTTGGGGATTGGCGGCACATCTAAAACAGCCAAGGGGAGACATTTTGGTTATCATCCTCCTTTTGTCATGAATCTATCATCATTGCAACTGAGGAGACGCATACTTGTCGTGGATGAGAGAGTATTGCTCAGCGGTCGCAGGGTCCGGGGAGTGAGAAGCAAAGCAATCCTCCAAAACAAGTACCAAGGTGCGATTTCCGATGTACAGAGAGGCATCCACCTCCACATACAAACGTGAGCCCACAGGAAGGACGACCACACCCGGTGCATAAGGCTCCGTGTAATCCGAGTTGTGGAACAAGACCATGGAGAATGGCGATTCGTCACTCCACCTAATCAGACCACCTTCCACACTGTCAACAAAGAGTACATATCATAAATCAAGGTAAGAGTCTCTCTTCGCGATGAATCTACGACTCTTAACTTTGTTTATGAGACTTACATAAGTCTTTATAACACCAAAGACATCTTTGCCGATTTAGAATATCAATATGCTGCTGTCAGGGAATTGACCCGGACAGTTTGAATGGAGAGACTCGACTCGGGAACGGATCAGTCCGCACCTGGAGGCCAAGACACCTCCCGGTACAAACAATGGCGACTTTGTTATTTCAGTGGGTTCTCTTTCCATCAATTGAGACGACTGTCACTTCACTCAAGGGCATCTGATCATGCGGGATGGTACAATGACTTTTTTTTTTTTTTTTTACAACAAGAGATATTGACCATATCTACAACGAAGAAATGCTTTTGCTTTATCTGAAAAAGCAGCCAAATAGAAATGCACTTCCATCGAGATATTTCCCATTTTAAACACTGAGCAGAAATGCAATAGCTGTCCACCTGCAACAGTGTTTCTTATGAAATCGGAGTTTCCTAAATGAGAGCTGAATCAATTAATTCACATCAAAGATCGCCCTAGTTATGATATACTCACGCCGGGGCCGGTTCGATGGCGGCATCCAGCATGCCGTTTGTGTCAAGGGCATAGGCACAGAAGAAAAGAAGTTTCTTCGGAACAGAGAATGTCAAGGTCGTTGGGTAGATGAAGAGAGTGTTGGAGTGCATCATGTGTGTCTGGTTGGTCTGCAAGACAGATGTTCATGAGATAGAACGTTAACATTTCATTCAAACACAGCTTTGATGTTGGTGATAGAGTTCAAGAACCCCCCCTCCCCCCCGCACTCTCCCCAAAACAAGGATTGCTACCCTCTAAAAAAAATAAATATTTTAAAAGATTGACAAAAATAATGTCTGCAAATCGGTGAACCCACGTGTGCCGATGCGGTCGTTTACCGGATGCTCAAAACCAAGTCAAGGACCTTGACCTTGAGGTGCTTCTTTTCATGTACTCGTATCATTTCATTCAGTGAAAACTTTGCATTCCAAACAAGATCCTCAAAGTCCTTCGCATCACAACAAGAGGCCCACCAGATCGATCTGTTAAAGTGTCGTGTTGTTTGTTTTCTTTTGTTTTTACCCTCAGTGTGTTTCCACAGGCCTCTGCCCCAGTGTCGGCCTCGTACCACACAACGCCACTCTCCTCAAAGGCCAAGGTACAGCTGGGGTCTGCCAGGTGTCCAGAACGTGGGTTGTAACCAGCGTTTGTTACCCGAAGCGAATTCAGACCCACTTGGATTTTGTCAAGACCACAAATAAGGTGTGAGGGTCCGAGTGAAGCTTGGTCATCTAAACAACAAAAAAAAAATCATGACTTCATTAATTTCGTGGTTTCAGCGTAATTACGCCAAAACTCAATCCACAGTTACCTTCACAAACAACACCGGCATCCTCGGTGTGACGACAGTTGTGCAACCCAATGCCACTGTGCTGGCACTCTCCCAGCTTTGCCTCACTTCCGGTGCATTCGACATCGTCCATCCAAATGGGATCTCCGCCAGGTCCAAAGCGAGCCTCCATCGGGGCCTCCAGGGCCCTGCCGCAACCCATTTGTCTGCACACCACTTGTGCATCATTCAGGCCCCAGTCATCGTCACACACTGTCCCCCACCGTCCGCGTTGGAAGATTTCCACTCTGCCGGAGCAGGTGGAGCCTCCACCATTCACCAGACGGACGTCTCCATCATCCGCTGGTGCTGTTGGGAAAGGATACATTAGACTAGTGCAGTGCTTCTCAATTATTATCTGTCATGACCCCCCTAGGAAGAAGAACCCCCCCCCCACACACACACACACACACACCCGCATGACTATAAATAGTATCATTTGTCTATAAAATTGTGACGAGTACACCTCTGCCTAACACTGCATCCTTATTAACGTGTAAAAGAATCAAAAAAGAGAAATATGGACCAATTTACAACAAAGAATAGCTTTAGTAAGTGTAACAGAAAAGATTTAAAGTGCATCTGAAATTCAAAAATAAAATGAAATCCTGAATTAAAGGATAAAAAAAATGTTCACTGAGCATGTGATTGTGAAAAATAAATGACATTAAAACAATAAATAATGAATGAAACGAAAACATCACCTGATCCTCTTATCATGAGCTGCAGAATCAGAAACAGCAACAGCCTTCTTGGCATCCCCATCCTGGCTGTGCGTCGACCTCGAGGCGAAAGAAAAATCATGAAACATACGTTTGGAAAAAAAAATGCTTGACTCGATGTAAATAACAGGCAATCGTGAAATCTTGAGCAAATTGCTTTTCTTACCTCGCGACTGTTTTTCTTCCTCCGCGTGCTCCGCACAGGCTGGAAACGATGAAGAGTTTCTTCGAAGGTTTGATTTGCCGAATATTCTCGGCCTGTGAGCTACTGCGAGTAGTTCACAAGTGCAAAGACACGACTCGCGACATATTTATATCATCAGACGGACTTTCGTTTTGGTCGAAACTGTTCTAGTTTGTGCCAAGTCACGGCGTGTTCCGATGTCCTGTGCGTCACCACAAAGGTTCCAGTAAGCAGTGTAGCAAAATGAAGGACACATCTGGCTACAAAAAAGACTTTCGCTGCAAACGTGAGAAAGTTATACAGGTGTGACTAAATATGGGCAGAAGACACACTTCATGAACTATCGATCTTGCTATGCTCCACGTGTTCGTTGATTTCGGATGATGAGGATGTTGGCCCGGTGATCCAGTGGTGACCGCGTCGACCTCACAGTGCAAAGGTCCCGGGTCCAATTCCAGCCCCGGCCTCCCTGTGTGTGGAGTTTGCATGTTCTCCCCGGGCCCACGTGGGTTTTTCTCCGAGTACTCCGGTTTCCTCCCACATTCCAAAAACATGCATGGCAGGCTGATTGAACACTCTAAATTGTCCCTGGGTGTGAGTGTGAGTGCGGAAGGTTGTTTGTCCCTGTGTGCCCTGCGATCGGCTGGCAACCGGTTCAGACAGCTGGGATAGGCTCCAGCACACCCCGTGACCCTAGTGAGGATCTAGTGGTTCGGAAGGTGAATGAATGAATGAATACAACAGGGATGCCACGGTGGTCCATTGTTCAGCACGTCGGTGTCACGGTGCAGAGGTGCAGGTTCAATCCCAGCTCCGGCCTTCCTGTGTGTGGGGTTTGCATGTTCTCCCCGGGCCTGCGTGGGTTTCCTCCGGGTTCTCCGGGTCCTTCCCACATTCCCAAAACATGCATGGCAGGCTGATTGAACACTCTAAATTTTCCCTGGGTGTGAGTGTGAGTGCGAATGGTTGTTCGTCTCTGTGTGCCCTGCGATTGGCTGGCAACCAAATCGGGGGGTACCTCGCCTATTGTTTGAAGACAGTTGGGATAGGCCCCAGCACCCCCCGCGAGCCTCGTGAGGATAAAACGGATGGGAAAATGGATGGATGGATGTATTTGTAATGGGCATACTGTAAAAAACACAATTTAAAAAAAAACAACAACAACAACTCCCATTTCAAAATCTGCATCCTTTGTGAGGATGAAGCGGATGGGAACATGCAAGGATGTTGGTGATCCAAATACGATGAACAGTCGCTTCAAAGGTTTGATTTGCAGAACATTCCGGGCCCCGTGAGCTCCAGACAGTAGATCACAAGTGCAAAGTCACGAATCGCAACATATTGCAAATTTCCCCAGTGTGGGACAAATAAAGGTTATCTGATCTTATCTCATATTCATATCATCGGAAGGGCGGCATCGAAACTCTTGTGCGACGCCAGGACTCTGTTTTTGTCCAAACTGATTCTTGTTTGTGTCAACTCACGCCGCATTCCGATGTCCTGTGCGTCACCGCAAAGTCTCCGGTCAGCAGTGTATCAAGGCTAACAGGTGGCTCCAAGGACGCGCCTGGTTGACTGCGGGCATAAGAATGTTATACAGGCGAGACTAATGATATGGCGAAAGACACACATCATTGCATTATTTTATTCAAATATTGTGAAGAAACACAAAAGACCACGGCAGAGGTTTCACTCGACTAAATATGGGCAGAAGACACACTTCATGAACCATCCATCCATCCATCCACCTGCAGGTGGTCAGGTGGTTCCTCTTGTTCTTCATTTTCTTCTCGTTATTCGACCCGTTCTTGTTGTTGATGTGGTTCTCTCCTTCTTCCTTTTCTTGTTGGCATTGCTGTCAGTGCTTGTATCCTTTCTTCATCATGTTTGTGTTCTTTTTCTTGTTTTTTTTGACCAGATCTTGTTTGAAGCTTTAAAAGTGTCCAAAAGTCAATGCGTAAACTTGTCAAATGTTGATGCGCAGGATGTCGAAGTTGGCTTGGCAAGCCTTCATCCTCTGTTTGCGTGCATCAAAACCAGATGTAATCACAACAGCTTTTTTTTTTCCACATAAATAGATCTGGAGCTGTTTTTATTTCTCCATTTATCGATTTCATTCATGTATTTATTTATTTGCAGTCGCATACTTCGTCCCCTTTTACAAGTTTACCCACAACTCGAGGGTCAATTTGTCTCGTCGGGTCAAAAGTAACAATTCAGCAACGCTTCATCCTGCATGTGAACGTGCTGCTACTTCTTTATCTCACTGTTGTATTAATAACCACACGGATGACAAGGAAACGCACACACACACACACACACACACACACACACACACACACACACACACACACACACACACACACACAACACACACACACACACACACGCACGCACGCACGCACGCGCACACACGCACGCACGCACACACACACACACACACAGACACTGCCCCTCTCCAGAGAGTAATTAAAATTCTTCCAGGAAAAAAAACAAAACAAAAAACTAACGACTTTTTTTTTTGGCAGCCTTAATGTCAAGCTCTTTCCTTATTTTTAACTTTTAAGATGCCAGCAGAATCACCTCCAGATCAAACCCAGGAAAACTAAGGAGTTGGTTGTGCATTTCTGCAGAAAACAGTCCTCACCTGCACCGATGAACATCCAAGGTACGGACATCGAGAGGGTGACCTCCTACAAGTACCTGGGTATTCTTCTCAACAATCAACTTGACTTGTCGACCAACACGGACACCCTGATCAGGAAGGGACAGAGCCGCCTCTTCCTACTCAGGAAACTGAGGTCTTTTGGGGTTCAGGGTCACTCCTTGAGACCTTCTATGACTCGGTGGTGGCTTCGGCCATCCATGATGTCATTGGCTGCCGGTCAGGCAGCATCTCGGCCCGGGACAGAAAGAGACTGCAGCGACCGGTCAGGAGGGCCAGTTCTGTCCTGGGCTGCTCCCTGGACACTCTGGAGGAGGTGGGCAACAGGAGGACGCGAGCTAAGCTAAAAGCTATGATGGCCAGTCCCTCCCTCCCCCTCCAGCCCGCCCTGGGTTAGGGTTCGGTTCACCCGCGCTACAAGAAGGAGAAACACCGCCGCTCGTTCCTACCGACTGCTGTCAGGCTGCTGAATAAACAAACGTGAAAAAAACCTGGACTCACCCCATCCATACGTTGTAAATAGCACAGCCACCTTATGCAGCGTATATGCAGTTGCATATATGCTTATATCTATATTATATATTGCATTCTGTACTCTGTGCAGTTCTTTTTCTGCTTTGTTTTTCTTTTCTACCCCCCCCACCCCCTCCTTTCAATTTTGCTGCTGTAGATTGCAAATTTCTCCGTTGTGGGACAAATAAAGGTTTCTCATCTTATTTTTATCAATTTATTTTTTCGCCTTGAGCCGAGAAACCACTCATGCGACACGGACCACCCAGAGCCCCTGAAGCGACCGCGTCCACACACCCATCAGGTATGCGACGGACAACATAAATGTATGGAAGGTAAGGGAAAAGTCTGTGTTTTCTGGCTTCGGTTCTCATTGGTTCTATTTTCATTGGGTTGTGCTTCGTTCAATGGTTGGCGAGCTTCCAGTTGTGTTCTGCAGTGGCCCTTTTCCGCCTCGCTTGTGCTAGTTCCGGCCCAGTGCCCAGGTGAGCTCCAGTTCTTTCTTTCTCCACGAGCTAACTGTGTGGACGCTGGGCGTCGAGAGAGTGTTTTTTTAAGTAGGTCGGTAACTCGCTAGGTCGCGAGCTAGGTGGATAAGTACTAGCTCCAGTTCTTTCTTTTTCCACGAGCTAAATTGGCTCTTGCTCGAGCTCAGGTGCTTGAAATTAGGACCGAAGCGTGGGGGTTGGGGGGCAATTATGTGTTGGGTCAGACTCTGGCAGCAACCACGTTATCATGACGATCGCAGATGTAGCGGAATGACACCCTGGACGCACGGAACTGTCGAGAGGTGAACTCCGGCGATGGCAAATGTGCCCAGCTAGCACGCGATCTCCGACTCGAGGCCAGCCTCGTGATCATCTACCATGATTAAGAAAGATCGAAGCGTTTGCTGGTTGCAAAAGGTGCTCTTGGGCAAACGTCGACGTAGCAAGTGACATTTGGATGTTGGACCATGACGTCACGACGTCGCTTCAACTTGGCGCTTTGCCGGTGGAAAACCAAACGCGTTCTTCGTAAGAACGTGTTAAGCAACAAATAAGCACAGCGCTGCCTCTGGCGCCGAACGAATGAGCACCAATTTTTGTTGTTGTTGGTTTGTGCGCTTGCCTTTTCAGGCGTTTCTCATTCCCGAGCAAGCATCCAACGACTTGAATGTGTCAGCCATGTTTTGCTTTATCTCGCTGAGTGGATTTTCACTTCAACCCGTCGCTTCCCCTCCTCGAGGGAAATCAACTTGACTGAGCGACAAACTTACCATGAGACAGGTCTTGTCATCCAAGGCATAAAAATGCTCAATGTCAGGTGTGAAGAGGAATGACAAAACAAGGGGTCGTTAGGTTTTTGTTTTGTTTTTTGTGTTACGTAAGGATATGTGGGGAATGCAGAGCATTAGTCGGAGTCTTCTTAAATCCCTCGGCAGGCGGCTTTATGAGTGCTCCATCGAGAGGCTTACTTCACAAAATGTCAGACTTACTTTCCTCCAAAGTGCTGATGATCACTTTGCAGCTCAGCCACCGAAGAAAAGGGAAAAAAGAAAACGCGCAAGTGTGCTTTAAAAGCGGCGAATTCTCAACACTCATACAGAAAGTCTCACGACCACACTCGAGTTGATGAAGCCAAACTACTTTCTCTTGCTATTCCTCCAATTTCTTAGATGAGCTAGCTTGCTCGTTCGCCTCAAGGTTGGCGGGTAGAGAATCGGGAGTCCGCTAAGATGGTCATCAGTCAGTCTGTCATTCACAAGTTTAGTTAGTCAACCAGATAGTTTGTCAGTCAGTCAAGTAATTTGTCAGACAGCCACAAAAAAAAAAAAAATAATAATAATAATAATAATAATAATAATAATAAAAGTGAGTCAATCAGTTAGTCTCTCAGTCAAGTCAATTGTCGGTCATCCACAAATAAGTCCATCAGTCATTTAGCTAATTACTCGTTCGATCAGATCGCTCAAATCTTTGCCGCTTGGTGATTTATAGGGCTGA